CWKTGCAAAAAAACTTCKATTTCCATTCGCYTGAAACCAGTTGTTCAATAGTAAGGGMGTGTTTTGTGGTTTGATTAAAATAAATAAATGCGTTTTATTTGAATTGCTTATTAAAGTGTACCTAGTTGAGCATGACTACCATTAAAAAAATACTCTGCACGCTTTTTTTCTCAGTCCTCTATCCATCTACCACCAACTCTTAAACCATCCTCCATCAGTGATTGAATAAAAACCTTCACTCCCACACCGGTGCGTGAAACTTTCAGCTTTTCGGGTCACTTCCAATATAGAATGTCCGAATGTGGTCCAATTCAATTATGTAGATTAGATTAATTGGCTGCTTATGTCCGAGGCATTAAAATGCGGTTCGCCGAAATTAATTAGCTGCTGAATTAATTGTCGCAGTATTAAGTGTATGTTATTTGTGGGTTTCAAATCTATGCTCACTATCGACCGCAATAATTGCAACACCTTTCGAGGAGTGACAAGTTGAAAAAATGGCTTTCTTATACCAGAGGTCAGAGTATGCATGACATGTTATTTGTTCTTGGTAATTGATTATTTTTTTTCGGATACCATTGTTCTTGGTGTATCAACCAAGAAAGATTGAAAGGGTGAAGCATGTACATTCTTTTATGTTCTAACATTTACATTAAATCCAGTATTGGACGACAGCCGACAGCGATTCTTTTCGCGAACTCATTGCAAAATGTTCATTTTTCTACGCCAATTTGGATAGTTTTGATTGAGCGCACGCCACTAATTTATTCGGAAACGTATCGCTTGTAATGCAAATTAAAATAGGATTTTTCGCCTTTATCGGACCTTTCGCAAATTAGTGACCCAAGCCATTCTTATTAGCGCACTTTCTTGGGAATAAATTTAGCATTTTTCCTTTAATGTTTCACTTATAAGTGAGCCTGGGTTCCCAACAGGCAGTATTCGCTTGAAGCCCAATCAACTCACTTCATTGGATACTAGTCATGTTTGTTAAAGTAAGTGCTAAGTTCGTCCTCAAGCCTCAACCATACTCACACTCTCTTTTATAGGTCGTTGCTGTTTTACTGTTGGTGGGCTGCGCTTATGCTGGAATTTCTCACGTCTCCTCGAGCCAAGGAGGTGGAGGAGGTGGCGGACATGGAGGCCATCACATTATCGAATTCTACGTAAGTTGAACATAGCCAGTAAACCTGCTGAGTTTGAATGAATTTTCCTTTATTTCATTGAAGACCTTCCCTCACTATGAGTACAAGTACGAAGTGCATGATCCAAAGCACCACGACGTCCATGAGCAGCACGAAAAACGCTACGGGGATAAAGTGGAGGGCGAATACTCATTGCATGAACCCGATGGTACCATCAGGGTGGTAAAATACGAGGCCGATCATAAGAACGGTTTCAACGCCATTGTCGAAAGGAACGGCCATGCCGTTCATCCGGAAATCGAGCACCATCATCATCATTAACCAAAGTGAGTCCTCGCACCATTCCAACGAATTTTTATTTTTTTGCCTCCAAGCAGAACCAGTATTACTCAAAGGCCTGCTCATTCTGTACCTGCATGATTCATCTCCTGCATCATCAATGGATTAACTATAATAGTTAATGTGTCTTCACCTTCTTTTCCTGCTTATTGTTCATCCCCATTGAAGTATTTTTAAGTGTTATTGTTGTTGTTTTTGTTAATAGTTAATAAAGCCCATATAATTGAGTCACTGATCACTCAAATATGAAATGCACATTCAAAAACTTCTCAACAATTGCCTCACGCCAGATTAAAACTTTTTCCACGGGTCGAGCTCACCCTGTCCTACAAAATGCATACTTCAACTGCACTGTTTCCCGAGAAAAAAATAACGCCAAACTTCAACGAACGCGACTTGAAAAATACTTGCAAATAGCCTGATGATGACTCAAAATCGAAACTTTTTTCACCTATAGAACTGACATTGCCCTATAATATGCTCTAGAAAGTTAGTTTTCAACTTCACTGGTTCCTGAGACAAAACTCCGGTATCCATAGACACACGAAAATTTAAAAAACTTGAAACTAGCCTGATGATGACTCAAAATCGAATCTTTTGCCACTTGTAAAACGGACTATTCCGTAAAAAAAATTCAAGCAAAACTCCATATAGAGATTGACTAGTTTCTGAGGAAACAAATATAACATTCCCACCTGCGTAAATAAGCGTAAAATAAAGATAAAACTGGAAAAAAATATGAAAAACCCTGAGGGATATTCAAACTCGAAACATTTTCCCCTTAGAGAACAAACTTTGCGCTACAAATATTATACAAAAATGATTCTCTAACTTAACCAGTTCCTGAGCAAATAAACGTGAAACTACTGAAGAATTTTGGAAATTTCCTGATCATGGTTGAAATTCGAGATTTTTCACATGTGTAGAACAGACCATGCCGTAGAAAAAAGTTCACAAGCAAATCTCTTAGTACCTAAAGGAATAAATGTTAAATTCCGGCCTGCAACAACCACTTCGTAAACTAATTGAAATTTTCAAAACGTAACAAAAATTGCTTGATGATGACTGAAAATCAGACCGTTTTCCACCACTAGAACATACTTTGCCCTACTAATTGCACACAAGAAAAAAACTGTAGTTTTGTGGTATTAATTTTTTGCAGTCATTCATATACCGATTTACAGGAGTTTAGAAATTATTCAAGTCACTTTTCGCGTTTGGTGCAGTTACATTTTTATGCCTCATATACAGGGTTGCGCGATCTAGAAATTTAAAAGTAATAAACCTAAGTTCAAGCAATTTTTGTTATTTAAATAAAGAACTGTTCAAAGATGTAAAAATTTTCGCACTTACCTTTGCCGCTGATCATTTCTGAATTTAAGCATCTTTTGGTTTACACGTAAAATCCTCAAAAATTAAGAAAAATCTCGAAAACTTCACTTTAATGTCAATAATAGTCGCTGCATGCTGTTCATAGACGCCTTTTGACAGTAAAACGTCAGAACTTTTACAATACGGAAAACACTTTTTTTTTTGCTAAAATCACCACTACCGGCTGAGAAAATAACGCAAAACTATCGAACGAAACTTTCTCTTTCAGAAAAGCGGTAGTTTCCCGCAAAAAAATGGGAAAATCTTGCGATTTTTCACAATTTAGACGGAGCGCATCCCGCACTGACTTTACCATCCATCGTGAATGCAACTGACTGATTTGAGGAAATGTCATAGGAATTGACGTATTTCTGCGAGCTTCAAGCGAGTTTTTGCTTAAAATTTTGTCTTAAAAAAATGAGTCAAGAGAATGTAAAAGTCAAGTTAAAAGAGAACAACTCTCATCAGCAATAAGCCATTTCTTATTTATTATATACACCGTTACATACAAAAAACTACACTAAAAATCTACATGTTTTATACTGATGAGCAACACTGTTTGATAATGAGTAGAAATGATCATGATCCAGGTAACAGAAGCTTTAGGGGAAGTCAGTCAATGTTGAGTCGTTTGGGCCTAATGCAGAGCTACTCCTGCAAGGCCAGAAACCCGCGTTAAAACCCAGAAATTGCAATAGAAAAAATGAATAAATCTCACCTAATGCTCCATGCTGAAGAACTGTAGGATGCAAAGCATGGCCTTGCCGAAGAACCACTGCGTTGAACCCGTTGTGGTCATCGGCCGTGTATTTCACCGTCCGAATGGTGCCATCAGCTTCTTTAAGTGAATACTCTCCTTGGACGACGTCGCCGTGACGAATTTCCTTCTGCTGCTTGTTATCTCCAGTGTGAAGATCACTTACTCCATATGCAAAGTCGTATTGGGGAGGCGCCTGGAAGCCGACATTTTCTCCACAAACTCTGGAAAATCATGCGGGACTTACGTAGTAATCCACTGCTTGGTGCCCAACCAGGCCCGATCCATGCCCAAGAGTCACTATGGGTCCATGTCCAAGGGACAATCCCAAACCGTCGCTCAGAATGGGGACGGCTAATGCTGAGCCGCTCAGAACCGCCATCAATAAAACAAGCTAAACAAATTGTGATATTTTTGCTAGAAATTCTTAAGTTTATTGGAAGGCAATTTTCTAGATTTTATTTTGCAAATATGAAACACATCTCCTTTTTCAAGATGAAAGTGTTTCAGTTGTCAAGTTCATATTTTGCAAAGACACCTCGGGTCCAATGTTATTGAAGGCTCCGTTAAAATTTCAAAAAATCCCAGAAAAAATCTGTTTTTGTGCCGAAAATTGTTAATTTTCTGAACATGGAAGTTTGCCTTCACCGTTTTGTG